GGCTACAAATTCAAGAATACCCCCCCCCCCCCCTAACTATATGAAAAAAGAAGAAAAAATCATTTTCACTTCTGTTAAAAAAGTATATAATTCCTAACCCTATGATTATCAAAGTAGCTCGATATAGCCTTTATAGGATAACGACAACACCTAAAAACAAGTTAGATCATTCACATAGTTATTCAACCCTTTTTTATATGAACACTCAATTCCTTTTTACGCCTTCCTATACCACCTTACCTTGTATAAGAATATAACACTTAAAATCTCCTTTTCCCAACCCTTGTTACGTATATTTCATGGGACATTAGATGGTATAGTATATGTTTATGTTTTTTGGTATATTTATAACTGTCAAATATAACTATAATGTAAGAAATATCATGTCTTGAACCTTGGTGGGACGAAAAGGCAACCGATGTCTTGACTTGATCGAGTGAACATTTCTACATGCATACAATGGTATAGTATTTTTTATAAAAATATACTTTTAAGCAGACTGGTAGACTTGAGTCTCATAAGATACCTCTTTTATAAATTTAAAACATTATGACAAGCATACTTTGAGCCTACTTTTTCATAAAATAGCATAAAGAACTTTTCAATAGATACATAACTAAAATTCTGGCGTAAAGACCATGTGGGATGGTTTTCAAAGCATGTGCATAAAATGAGTACAATTGACTATGATGACTCTGAGACATGATTCATAATAGAAATATCAGAACAAGGTCTCGACGTACCCAAAGGACCTAATTATACTAAGTGACATGAATTGACCTCAGATAGTAAGTGAGGCTCACCAATAGGAGTTGCTTTAATGTGTCATCTTAAATACCAAAATTAGCATTCTGAGTGCAGCACCCCCGACACAAAAAAAGTGAGTACCGTAAAATGGTAATCGTATGATAAGACATAATCAACTCAATAAGGGAATATGATATCATATAAAGAGAACATGCTACATAAATATCATGAAACTTGAGGAATAAGGTATAGAGTGGAACCAATACTCTTCTAAGTCATTACTTCAAATAAACCTCAAAACTTGAAAATAAATATACTTTTTACCTCATAAAATCAAGTATCATAGTAGTGTAGAAAACCTTTCAATAAATATAAGTTCATCTAATTAAGAATAGGGCATTTATAAATAGAAATAAAAATTCATAAGCATAATCTTTTTGTATGGGAATCACCTAAATGGTGACAATAACATTACTTTATGTGTACAACATAGTGTCCAATCTTTCACCCATCGAAATAGATCGTCTTACCATAATGTCGTGTGTGAGTACATATCATAACTCGTATCATGAGCCAATAGGGATAGCACTTGTAATATGTGGTATTTGATTAGAGACCGACAAGACTTCAATCTAGCAACTTATCCTAATGCGAAGGGATTTTAACCCAAGTTTGATTAATCTGGTGCAACGGGACTTTAACCCAAGTCAGTTTCACCTGGTGGGATGGGACTTCAACCCAAGTCAGCTTAACATATATAAGTATATATGATTTTGGGCAATCATCACAATATCCTCTCGGCAATCTAAGTGGTTCTCCAAAAATCATTTCATATATAATATGTATGACCTATTGACCCCTTCTTCTTTTATAACATGAGGCTACAAGTATCCATATACAAAACAACATATGAACCATATGCTTGACATATGATCCGTGTGTTGTATCGTGTGTTAAAGTGCTAAAAAGTTGAGCTACTAGTTTTAACATGTCAAGATACAAAAGGGGATGGGTCAGGGTCAGTTTAGGTGATATGTCTTGAAATGAGTGCACATAAGATGTCTTTTGCTTGAGTTTTCTTTATCCTTCCAGCATTTTTTTGGTATGTTTTTAGTGTTAACATATTGTTTTGAAGGTATTCAGAATCAAAATAACCAAAACAAGGAAAAGTTGAGATACTTCCTAGAAAAAAGAATCTCAACTTGTCCTTATTTTGTCCATTTTGACTTTGAATACCTATAAAACAACAATCTAACATTAAAAACATATGAAACATGCAAAAGTACATAAAGAACTTAAGTAAAAGACATCATATGTGCCCTAATTTTAAGGCACATCAACACCCCCAACTTAAAACATTTGATTGTGCCCAAGAAAGTAACACAAAAGACTTTACTATAGCTAAGTCTAATCACAATAAAGCAAGTTGTCTATAATGGTCTTATTAAGTCGCTATACGTATTCACTTATCAAAACATGATCGATGTCACAATTTGAGTCTGCATCCTAGTTGTGATCGATGTTTAGGATTGTCGCACCCCGTTTTTTCGCAAAAACCAGTTTCGACCTAACAACTCTTTTGGGCTTTGGGTTGGATTGAAGAGTCGCTACCTAACGAATTAAGGCGCGTTAGGACACCTATCTAACCTAACTAATCTAACTAAGGTCAACGAACCAGAGATCGGGTAAGGGTTCAAATTACCTCAAGGGGAAGGTGTTAGGCATCCCTCAAGGTCCACAAATGTGGGTCCCGGCCGTATCTCATGCAATTTATGTGGGGGTTACAAATAGCAATTAAAGTCACTTCATTTATTATTTATTTATTAAACATGTTTGCTAGGTGATAACTAACATTTAAACAATTAATATCACTTCATTTATTTATTTAATCAATTGAGCATGCAAAACTAAGTGATAACATAATATTAAACAATTAAGGGCACTTTAGTTATTTTAATTAATTAGTTAAGCATGCAAGACTGAGGTGATATATCAAACAACAATTAAATGCTAAACAATTAATAAAGAGATAAGCGAGGAGACAGAAATCGCACCAATAGATAAGCAAACAATTTTTATATTTTATTTAAGCTACCCCAAACAATTATAATTATAAACAAACAAAGAGACAAAAGGAAAGGGAGACTCTGAAGGATTTTACGGATCAGCGCTCGACTTCTATATGGAGATAGACAAAACAAATGTTTATCATTTACGGCTCGAGGCAATGTCATCATCTCCGTAGGGCCTAGACTATCCCTAGCCCACCATCGCATGATTTTCGTCTCTAAAAGGTGCCTACCGTACCCACTTAAGGTCCAAGAGGCATTGGACGGCTAACATGAAGGTTTTAGACTAAAATAAAAATAGAGGCTCCTAATTAGGCCCACCTAGACACCAAGTCAAACAAATAAGACGAGCATTTTAGCACGTAAATCTCATGTTGGCCTCTAGATTAGTTTATTAACATGCTAGCAAACACAAGTAAGGTGAAAAGGTCGCATGCTAAGTGTGTGGCGTATACACAAGCATTACAACAATGAAATTATTTAATTGAGATTGGCAAAAATTATTACAGAAAAACAGATTTTATTTATCAACTGATTTTAAAAGGACAGAAATTTATGACATAGCCTATTTTATTTATTGATTTTAAAATATAGCAGAAAAGTGGTCACACATGCAAAAATATTTTAAAACAACAACAAATTTAATTATTATTGCAAAGATTAATTTAATATGGCAGTCAATTTGTTAAAATGTAGAAAGACAGTAGCTAATTTTTAATTAGGACAAGCGAGTAACAAATGCAGAAAATATATATTTTTTAGAACAGTAGCATATGGTATTATTAGTGCAGAAATTAATTTAAGTGGCAATTCGAATGCGGAAAATAATTAATTTCGGGCATGATTTTGCAAGGGCAGATTTTAAAATTAAAACGTGCAAGAGCTGATTTATTAGCTTTATTTAGTAGCAGATTATAATAATGTCACAGTACTTTGATAATGACGGAAAAGTCATAACAGAATTTGGGTTATTTAACATGCTGGAAAACAGTGGCAGAAGTAAATTATTATTTCAGTGATTAGCATGCTGGAGATTAATTAATAATACCTTGAACATGATCTCTAGGTGTTTGAAAAATATTGCATAGCACCTATAGGCATGATACTATAAATAAGTAAAATCAAGTCTACAACCTATAGGCATGATTTCTAAGTGGTCTGAATTTATTCACAACTGTTAATTTAAAACAGCTCAGGTTTTAATCAAAATATTGTTGTACTGATTTCTCTTAAACATGCAGGAAATATTTCAGCATTAATAGTGCAAAAAGTAGTTCTGTAAGTTAATTTTTTTTCATGCTAGAAATAGTTAATATTTATTTTGATTTACAAAAAATATGTAGCAAATTTATTTCAGTTTTTGAACATGCTGAAAATTATTAGAGTAAGATTTTAACAAGAAATTTTATTTAATCTTATTAACACTAGTCTTATTAGTTAGATCCTATAGACATGGTTTCTAAGTGAACATGTTGAAATTTATTAAACTTATAGACATAATTTCTATATAAAGTTATAATAATATTCCGAAACCTATAGGCATGATTTTCTAAACCCCGAATAATATGCAGAGTGAAAAATAAACCTTATGATCATGATTTCTAAATAGAACAGGCTGAAAATTATAATAAGATTCAGAAAAACCTATAGGCATGATGTCTAATAGTTTAGTCAATTTCCAAAATTTAATAATATTAGCATGTGAGACAAGATTCTACAAGTTCACGATTCATAGCATATTTTAACACGTATTCATGCAAGATTGATCAATCAGATAAAGTTATAAACAAAGGTTGATTTTAAGCCAATTATTAGGATATATTTCTATATGCCTGTATGTTTTTTTTTTTAGTGATATACAAATCATCTATAACAATCACATAATAAAATAAGGCCTAAAAAAGAAGAAACAGTTAGCACGTAATCCCCTCCCCCTTAGACGATTCCCCAAGTATTTCATATAAATCCATGGAGTTCGAGTTTACAGATTATTACAGAAAAATAATAAAGATTAAATAATACACAGACGTAAATTAAATGAAATCCGCTTGTCTATTGTTTCCCTCCCATGGCGACTCTCCATATCTTGAACTTTGTGTTCAAACCTGCTCGCGGATAACAAAAGATACAAACAAGTATATATATATATGATAATATTAACTATTTGCAGGTTTCCTCAATACACAAGCTAAATCATGGGCATACATACAAGAATTTAAACAAGTAAAGAACCACACCATGTATGATGTCACACATAAAGAGGGAAGAAAGGAACTGACCCGGATGCTTCCTTTATTATTTCAAACATACACAAAATAATAATGCAAGATGAAATTAAACTAATGGAAGAACAACTAACCAGTTAAAGCAGAAAGATTTAACAGCAATGAAGACTAAACTTATTTCGATACTAGACCCGAACACAACAAAATCAAGTAGAGAAGCTCTTAGAATGTTCACCCAATTTTAAATCTTTAGAGTGGGGAGTATTTTATGCTCTTGTTAGAGTATGTAAACATCAATGACTGAGTCTGAAGAATGAGAGCAGGGGTCTATTTATTTAGTGAAGGGGAGGGCACAAATAAGGGAAAAAATAAATTAAGGAGTCAGTTAATATTATTTTTCCTTATTTCAAAGGAGAGCCAAATTAGATTTATTTTAAATTATTTTGTACCAAATATAAAAGCAAGCAAGGAAACTTACCCACTTTTAGTTAAGGTAAACAAAATCAATTAAAATATAAAACAAGTAAAGAGCATAATTTACAACGGTAAATAGACATAACTAAATAAGGAAGGTGCAATTACAGACAAATATCCATGCTCATAATTTCCATAGGCATGTTCAACTAAATTAGTCAATCATAAGATTCATTAAGTATGAAGCTATCCATATTATTATTCCAAAATAAGAATATAAAGTTACCATGAATAAGAGGGTACCAAATTTCATTAATTAGAGCAAATGAAATGATTTAAATTGATTTAGAGATAACCAAAATTTCCTAATTATGCATAATACAGGCTATTCCAAATTACACAAGAAAAACAGATCAAAGAGACATAATACAATACTAACAATCTTTATGGATTTTAAAAACTCAAATCAATAATCTGAACATATAGAAATGCTTCTATTTGAATTCTAAGAGGGAATGAATCCTTAGCATCATGCTATTAGCAACACACCACGCGTAGAGGATTATTGGAACATCATTTAAACAAAACAAAGGATCGAATATGTAACAATGATGAAACGAGATCAAACAGAACATAAAAAGCTCAAATTCTCAGAATATTCATCTCATAATAGCCAGAGATGTAATGAAATGCTAAAAAAAACTTTTACATTAAAACTTACTAGGACGGATTTGTTGAGATCCGTCTTTGAACTCGAACTTCGCCGGAGATGAGAGGAATGGAGATGCGAGGGTCTCGCTGGATCGTTGTTGTCGTTGCTACTGGTGCGCTGTTGTTTCGCCAGTAGCTCGTCGGAGTCGGAGCTGGCTCTCGCGCTGGTTGTTGTTGGTCGGAGCTGTTGTTGCTCTCCTCGTCAGTTGCTGTTGCTGATTACTTGGAGCTTCGCCATTCGCTGGCAGATTCACCAGGTGGTCCTCGCCGGTTGCTGGTCAGACGAGGAGAAAAAGGAGACGGAGAAGAAGGGATGAGAGGGGAAGGGAGAGAAAGAGATAGAGAGAGAGGCGGCTGCCACCAGCAAGTGGTGGTGATTGTCGCTGGAAAAAATGAAGAGGAGAGTTGAGTGCGGCGCTAGAGAGAGGAGATGAAGATAATGAAAAACTTTAGGGTTTGAGGGTATTTTGATTAAAATAGGAGAGATGAGATCGAATCTGGACCTTTGGATTGATTCGAATGAAGGGTTAGGATTGATCTTAGGCTTTAACTAAAGGATGGATGGTTGAGATTAATTGGAATTGGAAGTCTGAAAATTGGAATCAGTTGGCCAAAATTGGAATAGAAGTGGCTAGAATTGAAATGAAAGGGTGGTTACTATTGAGATAAAATTGGAATTGAATAGACTAGCATTGAAAGGAATTAGAATAGGATAGGCTAAAATTTCAATGATTTGGAGGGAAATTAAAGCAATGCTATCCAATTAAAATACTACAAATATCATAACATTTTATATAATTAAAGTCACTTAAATTTTAAAACATTTTTTTAAAAATAATTATTTCGAGTTTTACTAATAATTTAAAAAAATATTTAAATAATATTTACGATAATTTATAAAGCATGCATACTAAAATGTATAATTTTAGACAAAATCGACTAAAATTTTAAACTCAAAATATATTTTAAAATACGTATTTAATCTAATAGCATTCCAAAAAAGGTCAAAGGTCGGTCAAAATTGGGTGTCAACAAGGATCATAAATGATCTCAAGCAAACCATTGGTATTGACACATTTTTAAGGATTAAATTGACATTCTATGAAGTGCAAGCGAAAGATAAAACATAATTAACTGAAACAAATACTTAGTATATAATGGAATGAAATGATTGAGAATTCACGGAGGAACTGAACAACTAATGTCTGGAATAAAGCCTCTATAGAATGGAATGAAGGAAAATAAGTTTGTTGGGACATGACCTCCAACTACACTAAAAAGAATATTGTCTGAAATAAAAATCTAACTCCGATCTACTCCATGAAATTCCCAAACAAGAGGGACCCATCAACTGATGACTGGAAATGATAAGGATTCCAATTGGGGATGAAACCAATTGAAATCAAATGCAGAATTAAACAACACAAAAGTAAGATATAGATTAGAAATAAGAGATGAGAAGGGAAGAAAGAAAGGCTAATTGACTAAACAATCAACCAAGGAAGAAAAGAGTCTTCTTTTGTGAATTCTCGAAATTATGAGATGATCATTTGCACAAATGGCCTCTTTCTTCATTATCTTCACTTTGATGGATCTTCCACACATTGTACTTCTTTACTTTGTGTCCATCAAGATTCTCTAAAGCTTTTACGCGATCCATGCTATCCATGTCGTTATTCGGAAATATTACAACATGTTTGGCCACAAGTCTGAGAGAACGCTTGAATCTATATTATAATAGGATGCAGGACAAAGAATAATATGCGGTCAACATGTGAAATATACTAAATATATAAGGAGAAGTTAAACATGATTATTTCAGTGGCAAGATGTAATAAGAACTAGTGAATTTAAAGAAAATCATAAATATAATGAAATGCATGAAAGTCATCTAAAAATTAGTTTGTAGATATCATTAGAGAATTTGCTTCAAATATATAAAGGTGAATTGTTTTAGCCCTGAACCGAAAATAAATGTAAGTTGTCACATCTAAGAAATCATGATGATAATTCAAGTGTATATAATAAAATAGTATTCTTAATGGGGAGTTTCTTACATCTGATATACATTATATGAGCTTAATTATGATGTCCAACTTATAACCTCGATTGGAAGGCTGACATATACCTTATTGTATAGAACTTATCTATCTAATGTGGATCCATAACTAAGCCTTTTGGGATAAAGGAGTTGATCGACTAATGGTATACTCAAATTTTATGGTGGCACATAGTTATGGGAGGATTTGAGTTTTCCAAACCCACATTTTCTTGGTGTTAAATAGTCCTTTCAAAATAATTTGCATATAATGATATGCTCAGAATCAAGAATGAAACTTTGCTCAAAATCATATCTCATATAATATGTATTGAAACTAAAATCTATATTATGTTAATTTCATGCTTGAAAATCATCAAGGTTAAAAACCCCCGTAGAAATCATAATAAAATGGTTCAATAAGGTATAAAAACTAAGGAAATCAATCAAGAACAAAAGCTTAAGATGGAATTTCATAAATTGAGTAAATATTCTAACTTGGATTATAAGAATTCTATAGTAATCTTTTGAAAGAAAATATAACTTTGGCATGAGGGTGAAAGGACACTCTCATTGAATCCATATATACCTGGAAGAACAAAAGTATCATAGAGGAGCTCGATTGAGAAGTTTGAAACCCTATATTTTGTTGTTCTTGAGGTTTGCTCTAAGTTTTGGGTAAAGAATAAGAGAGAAATCTGAGGGAATATTGTGATATAATCCCTAAACATATGTTTAAAAATCGAGATTTAAGCTTAGGACATAAGGAAAAGACATAAATAAGATTGAAAAAACTTATGTCGGATTGAGTCTACGGGGACCATCTGTGACTCGTGGAATGATTCATGGCCTATGGACTCCCTTTAATGTACTGAGGGATATTTCCAATCTTGCTCAAAATTTGTTAAGAGTTTGATGTACTAAGGGCTAAGCTACCCCTTTTTACTGAAACGCAACACCCCTTTCATGGGAGATATTTATAAGAAGACCTAATTATCAATCTCTGACTATCTCTTCGCCTCATATCTGAATAAGATTTTTTCCAGCTTTGAGCAGTTTTCAACTGCTCTATGATAAATGTTGTATTTTTCATGGCTTGGTGGACTAAGTCTGGTCGTATCAAAGTGACCTTACCTACCTCAAATCACCAGTAAGAGACCAACATTTTCTCCCATAAAGTGCTTCAAATAAAGTCATATGAATATTGGAATGGTAATTGTTGTTATAAGAAAATTCAATAAGAGGTAGGTGATCATCTCAATTACCTATAAAAGTCAATTGCACAGGGGCTCAACATATCCTTTTGAGTGTGAATTATGCGCTCTGCCTGCCCATTGATCTGGAGATGAAAACTTAGATTGACTTTTGGACATATTATAAACTTTATGCCAACTTAACTTTATGGACTAACTCATGGCAATAAATGTTTCACAGTCGTGAAAGTAGCCCTGGATGACCATTTATAATTATGAATCCCACCATGAAAGGTTGTTATTTCAGATTCAAAAACTCAACTCTTCTTAAATCTTTTCCAGATTAAAACCTACAGTTGTGCAACCACTTTTATGGCCATAAATTCCATTGTGGAAGGTCATATCGCACAAAAGTTCACTTCCTTATGAGGTGCTTCAATGAACATTAAGATGAACAAATCGTACCTTCATTTCATGGTCATAAATCACCTTATATGGTTCAACACTTAGCCTTAAAGCTTAGGCCTAAAACCTCACACTCTACACCCACATATGGATCATCAAAGGCCAGATGAGGTCATGAAACCCATCTTGGGTTAGCTCACATACTTGGGCTTCAACATTAGCTCAAATCTTGTCCAATTCTATGGAATAATAATATACACTTATAACATTAACCTTACAAGCTTCAAATTCCTTTTACACTTAAGGGTTGCTTGGTAGAGTGTATAAGAATAATGCTCAATAGAGTGTATAAATAATGTTTGCATTAGTAATGCTTGTATTAGTTATACTTGCATTAGTTATGCATAGATTTCTTATGCATTGTTTGGTTTGGTGTATTAAAAATAGTATGCATTGTATAAAAATATTTATTTACAAAACTATCCTTCACAATTATGGTGGCAAAGATGTAAAAGTACTTTTGAGGGGTAATTGGGTCTTTAACCATGATAATGCATGTATTAAATCCTTTGCATTACTAATATCTAGAAATACATGGTATTAGTAATACACTCCTCAATACACAATAAAGTGTATAACTAATGCATATAGCATGAAAAAAGCACCAAACAAGGGACTACTAATACATATAGTTAATGCATGCATTATTTTTGCTAATACACTCTACCAAACGATCCCTTACAAATTATGGGTCTTTGCCAATGTTTACTTGGTCGTGCACATACTATTGCTATAGGGTGTTATAGTAAATTAACACTAAGTGAAGCAGTTAGTAGCAGACAATTGTTTGTCGACTTGTCATCTTCTAACTGAGGGTATTTATAAAAATTCAGTATTCTCTCTATCTTCAGTTTGTCTGTGTTGCTTTTCATTTTAGTTTGTTATATATTTGAAAACTATGTAAAATTACTATAAAGAACAATAATTAACAGCTTAAAATATTTATTAATCATATAAAAATTTGATTGACTCTCGAAATTCTATCAGTTTCACGTAAATTGGGACAAATTGAGTAACATATATTATTTAAAAATTACGTAAAAAGTACTATAAATAGAAATAAATAACAACTTAAATTTTTTAAAGAACGTATAATTTTCTTTAGTGCCACATAAATTGGGAGAGAGGGAGTAACATATATTATTTAAAAATTACGTAAAAAGTACTATAAATAGAAATAAATAACAACTTAAATTTTTTAAAGAACGTATAATTTTCTTTAGTGCCACATAAATTGGGAGAGAGGGAGTAACATATATTATTTAAAATTACGTAAATAGTACTATAAATTACAATAATCAACAACTTAAAATATTTATAAAAACTATATAAACGTTTTTGTTGTCTCTCCAAATTTCATTTGTGTCACATAAATTAGGACAAAGTGAATACGCCACGACCCAAAAACCGGCGTGGTGGCACTTGTCTTATCCCACCAAGACAGGTTAGCCTAAACAAACCACGATAAGATAAAATCAGAAGTAAGAACAAAATAAGAAACTAAAGGTAACATATCATAATATAACTCAAATTCCCTAAAACCTGGTTTCACGTGTACAAGCCTCTAAATATTACAATAGATTCAAAAGAAATACAAGTCTGAATGTTTTTGTATTTAGGACAGAACATGGACATAATGAAAGAGTAAGTGATGCCCACCGAGATGACAAGCAACTACCTCATGTACTCCCAAAGAAATCCTTAGACAAAGATGAGAATGGATGATCAAGATGATCCGGGATCGTAGCCTACACAAGTGTAGA